ATATTTACAAACAGAAGATTTTGCTACTTGTGATTAAACTTTACCATTTGAATGTGAGGCTGTTTTTCATTGACTTTAAGCTGGAGAGTCAGCAATAGAAGAATGTTTATGTTTTTCATGGTTAAAAAACTCTGAAAGTAGACTTACTGTACCTTATATAATAGTAGCATTAGGACCAGTGGAAGAAAAATGCTATATAACCTGAAAAATCATTTATTATTATTTCCTAGAGAACCTGCACATATCTGTATATTTCCAAGAGAGACTTGACAGTAGAGTCTTTCAGAGATTTTAAAATTTAAATAAGCCACCATATGCAGACATTTTTGCTTAGTTTTTTAATACTCCTTATGTAATGGTGACATTACATATTAAGTCTAGGTGCATTAAGAAACTGAATAAGTATAAAATTGATGTTTTGGATTATATTTTACATTTTTGTACAGTATCATTATTTTTGATACCTTAATTTTCTTTCATTGTGAACTCTTGCAAGGTTATGCACATTCTTATAGCATAATAGCTAGTCTATGTTTTCAGTATTTTGCTTTTCTTACAAAGATTCCTACTTCAGAGTACAATATAGAACTTGAAAGATATCCATTAAAAACAAACTAAAATATTAATGAGCAATAATGATCATCACTCTGAAACTGAACAAAATATCGAGGTAGAAAAACAGCCCCATCTCATCCATATCTTACGTGTAGCTTAATTATTCATATATAAATAATTCATATAATAATTAACAGATATTTATTTAACATGCAAAATGCAAGGTACTGTGTTGGGTGCTATAGGGAATGCAAAGATGAATAAGAATTGAGTCTCAGATCTCCAGACGTCAAAGCAAAAATATATAAAAATAACTTTTAATACAAGGCAGAAAATAAGTTTCTAACAAATCTGTTTATCTTCTCTGTAATACGAACTTTATCTTTATTCTAGTATAGTTTATATTTTCCTGATATCCTTTTATATTCTTTGGACTTTCTGTCAAAATAAGACTGGTTTTGACTCCTTTCCTTTGCTCCATCACTTTCCCATGGGACAAGATTTAGTCGCTTTTCCATTATGCCAGAATTCTCTCATGAAGAGTTTTTATTTTCTCTTGTTTTTTTGTTTCTATATGATTACTCTGTCTCTACAGAATCATATGTTTATTTTCTTACTTTTCTATTGATAAACCATACAACATTAAAAATAGGTTCTCTAGATGAGTATTCTCAATTACATAAATCCTGTAAGTAGAGTGCTCAGCTTAACTTAATCAATGATCTATCTACCCAATTCTTAAGTGTGTATTAAATGACAAATTTTCCTGAGTTTTTAGCTTTGTGCTGCATATCTCCTGTGATTCTCAATTTATGGTACTGTAGTAGATATTGTTGGTTCCCTGCCCAGATTCCCTATAATTGCTGGTGCCCCTTTTAATGAAAAACTGTCTTTGGCTAACTGGGAAGTGCCTCACCAGGAAGACTATAGTCACCCTTCTTTTTTGCAACCCACCCCCCTATCATCGGGGAAGGCCAGCCAATGATATGGGATATAAGAAACTGGCATCCTTGCCTCAAGGTAGGATCAGCTCTGTGGTAAAGTTAGTGCTTTCCCATGGGGTTATACTGATGCTGAGCTCCAGTTGAGACCATATTCTTGCTTAATTTTTCCTCCTTGCCCTATCCTGTTTTTAATACCGTTATTCCTGAGATAATCTGCAAACAAATCAATCGAACAAGAATCCCTGTCTCTGGTTACACTTAGAATATGACTTAAGACACATGCCAAAATTGACTTTATCAACTTCTTCTGAAACCTGGTTTTCTTCCTGTATTTCTAGTCTCTAATAAATAATATAATTTTATGACTCTCAGTCTGGAAATCTGGAAGTTATCTTTGACTACTACTTGTTCTATATATTAATATCAGCAGTTCTCAAGCTTTTTGGTCTCTGGATGTCTTTACACTTTTAAAAATTATCAAGGACATCAAAGAACTTTTGTTTATATGTTGTATATCAATATTTACCATATTAGAAATTAAAACTAAAAAAAATTTAAGTACCTATTTATTTATTTTAAAGCAGCACTATAAACCCATTGCAGATTAACATAAACCATTTATGAAAAATAACCATATTTTTAAACAAAAAATTTAGTCAGTTTTACATTTTTTAAATCTCTTTGATATCTAACTTAACAGAAGTCAGCTAGATTCTAATATTTGATTCTGTATTCAATCTACTGCAATATTGCCCATCGTATAGCGTCTGGGAGACTCCACTGGATCTTGTGAAAAAATGAGAGTGAAAAGGGCAAATAGCATTTTGCATTATTATGAGAATACTTTGATGTTGCAGACCCTCTGAAAAAAGTCTTAGTCCCTGGATCACACTTTGAGAAACATTGCTGTTTATCAGTGGATAAACAAGTCCTGTTGAGTTTGCAATGAAATATTTAGTGATGTAGTTAACCACATGAACTTCAAACTCTCACAATCTGGGTTAAGAGCCTAGGCAGAGTTCTTCTCATGCCACGTCATTCATCTTTGATGAGTCCTTTGAAAGAACTCATACTGAGGAATCATTTATAGTGTTTCATAGCATATACTCCAAGGATGACCATCATCAAGGTTCCTGTGTGTTAATATATAACATTTTGGAGCATAGTTCATCAAGACTTCTTTTTTTTCCTTGAAGGAAAATTCTATGTGTCAGTGCTTTGCTTTTTGTTACAATCAGAGATTCTTAGTAAATAAACTATGTTAATCAGTTGAAGGTTCATGTCAAAACTTTGCCATCTATTTGCATCACAGATGGACAGCAAATCTAAGCTTTTTCTTTACTTCTTCTGTGCAAAGACTGAAAGCAATTACTCAAAGACTAATGAGGACAGACTTCTTCCAGCTTAATTCACACTGACTAATAATTACATTATTACCACCTCTTGAGAAAGCATAGGTAGACTTTAGTGACATCCATTTTTTCCTGTCTTGAATTTCCCACCTGCATGCCCTCCACGCTCTCCAATCCAAAGAAATGCCTGCTTATATCATACAAATCTAAACTTTTCAATTGGAAACTCACTTTATATTTGAATCGAAGATTCAATTATTTTTCTGTGCTATTATTAGCAACTTTTAGACAGACCATTGATGGTAATGCATCCTGCACATTTGTGGGAAAATTTTTATCAAATAAACATGCAAATTACCATTAGTCCTGATCACTTTGTGATAGCATTTATGTCAAAACTTCCATTAGAAGAAATAATTTTTATTTTTAAAATTAGTATTTATTTTTGAAAAAATTGCATATTGTATGGAACAAGGCATAGCTCATTTACTATTTTATTTATTAACTCATTAAACATTTATCAGTCTCCCAGTGAGACTGATATGATATAATGCTGGTAATAAGGATACAAAAACGCCAGATCTTTATCTTTAACAGGATTGCCTGTTGTTGTTTTTCTTCCTCTGGTAAATTATAAGTTGTATCATAGTGAAAAATGCTATGTATTTATGATTATCCAAAATATATTCAGGTAAATTTGTTCAATTTTTAAAAATACATAATTTAAAATCATCTGTAGCTCTTAAGATTGGCAATAATCATTATAAAAATGTACAGTGACATTTTTATTATGGACCATTGGCTGGTCCATAATGGTGATGGGTGACAACACTTAGTAGATTATTTGCATTGTCTAATAATTTGAGTTTTGTTTTATTTTTTTCTACAGCAGTGCTAAGAAGACTTTTTGGACTAAAAATAGAAAAGGTTTTATATCTGTACTGTTCAATACAATAGCCACTAACCACATTTGACTATTGAGCACTTCAAATGTGGCTAGTATGACTGAGGAACTGAATTTTAAATTTTATTTAATCTTAATAAAACTACATTTACATATCCACTTGTGACTAGTGTGTACTACATGTGACAGTGTAGTTCTATAGTGTCATTAACTTTATCAGAAAGTGGTAACAGTTGAATTACGCGAATTGTAACTGAGATTATTTTATTTATACGTGAACCTATCCCCAGAATTTTACTTACAGACACCTGTCAAGGCATTGGGTCCTCCTGAAGATGAAATGATAATTGTTACTTTTTCAACATTCTTTTAGAAAGTGAATGAGCTTACTTTTTCCTTTTTACTGCAACTGAAGATGGCTACACGATTCACTGTGTGAATGAATCATTGCCATTTTTCTGTTTTCATTTTGATCCGAAAATTCAGTCACTTGCCTTCGTGTGTGATGAGTCAGCAAGGGACCATTCAGGCTGCTGAGGGAAACAGCAGGTGGCAGGGATCAGCCAGCCAGTGATGATCATGCAGTGGGATAAGTGGAGCAAGTGGAAGCTGTAGGATTTGAGATTTAGCTCCTTGCTGATTTGGAAGAGGCACATTTGGTGGAACTATTACAAGATACTTGCAAAGATAACTTAGCACAAAGCATTAATGAAAGTAGGTGCCAAGTAGGACTTACCCTGTAAGTATCCCATCAGGATTGTATTTGCAGTCATAAAGAGAAGGTGATCGGAAAACCTTTTCATTAATTCATAAGCAAACTAATGATCATAACAACTAATGTAAATGTAAAAAAATCAGACAGCAGTTGTTATAGAAAGAGTGCTTTCTAATCAGGATGAAGTAAAATTCTTGGATTTTTTTTCAGGTTTGTGTGCTATTTTAAATACTCATAATTCTTTCTGATAATGTCAAATCTTTGTTTCCAGGGGATTTACTCTTACTTGAGGGAGTGAAATTGAGCAATTTTAAGAGTTCAAGGGATCCTTAATTAGGAAGCCATAGTACAGGTTTATTAATAGAGGAATACTTCTTTTAGCCTGAAATCCAACTATGTATGAGGGTCTATCTGTTCATTGATTCTATATCTTACACTTCCTCTATTACCTTCCATGTGCCTCCTTAAAGAGACTGCTTCTCTCTGACTGACCTTTTATTGATGCCCTTAAAATCTTTATTTCTGTCTAGGGTGAACCCATCACTTTCTGTGAGGAGAGCTTTGTAAAGCACCGCTCAAATGTGATGAAACAGTTCTTGGAAACTGCAATTAACCTTCAACTTTTTAAGCAGGTAAGAGTGGACTTCTGCATTTTTAAAAAAATAACAGAACATAGTTATTTTTACACATTTTTATTACTATAAAACTATTTCCAAACCTTGAGTAATATCTTTTAGAGAATTTCAGGAATTTTTTCTTTCTTTTGTAAGTCTACAGCTATAAGTTATGGTATAGTACTCTAGAAATATTTTATAATAACTTGGCTTTAAAAATTCTCCATCAGCCGGGCTCGGTGGCTCAGCCTGTAATCCCGCGCCTTTGGGAGGCTGAGGTGAGTGGATGGCCTGAGCCCGCGGGTTCGAGACCCGCCTGGGCAGCGAGACCTCATCTCTACAATAAATCAAAAAATCAGCCGGGCGTGGTAGCGCATGCCTGTAATTCCAGCTACTTGGAAGGCTGAGGCGGAAGGATCGCCGGAGCCCAGCAGGTCGAGGCTGCGGTGGCCGGAAGCGGCCACTGCACTCCAGTCTGGGTGACAGAGTGAGACTTCCACTCTAAAAAAAAAAAAAAAAAAAAAAAAAATTCTCCATCAAAAGTTGTTGAACTTAAGGTCTCAATGAGGAAGGGTACTCATTCACAGAAGTAAAAGCAGTATGATTCGTTTTATGTAAGGCATCTTAGAAGGAATTATTTTGGTATGATAGATTGATATGGTAAACAAGCAGTTTTTATAGAACTGTCCCATTATAATTTAGTTTATAAAAAAATTCATAAAATAAATATTTAACTTTTAAAACTTTGTGAAAGTTTTTATGGTCATAAATTCAGAATTAAAAATAAAATGCATAGTTATGTTGTGTGTCCTGATTTTTGACTCAGAAAATGTAGTTGCCATTTCAAGAAAGCAGTAACTTGATATCAGAATTCAGAAATTTTAGATGCACTGGTTCTGTCATTTCATTGTGTGATCATAACAAGTCTCTTAAATTGGGTTGTCTTCGTTTCTGATTACATAATTTTAAGTTTTTAACATTTGCTTTTCTTATTCCACATGGCAATTTTAAGGGTAGTTAGCTATGTAAAATAAAAATGCAGTGGAGGCCCACACTGTGTTATAAACTGTGCTCAGGGCCAGGAAATAAACATGAATAAAAACTCAGCAATGCTCCTGAGAATCTGACAATCTAACAGAAGTTTCTTTGGACTGTTAGGAGGAAAGATGCCATATAACTCAAAATAACTTTCAAATTAGGTAGGTAAAACATCAGCATGGCAACAAATTAATACTGCTATATATGTTCTGAGGAAGTTTAAAAAATAATCTGAGATTAGAAACTACTCTGTAGGGGAATATGTGAAGTTCTACGTTAAGGAAAGAGAGTTATCCCATACACAAACTTAAGGAGCATGGATTTTAGGATCAGAGATATCTTGTAATTTTCAGAAATGGAGTGAGCTACTTTTGGGGCTTTTTGTCCCTAGAGGTCTTCAAATGTAGACTGAATTACTTTCCAGGATTATAAGGCATATCAAGTCCCAAACTATCACCTGGTGCTTGCTAGTTGGGTTAACATTAGTACTCTTTGTATGTTAATCTATCTTTCATTATCAAAACTGAGTTATGAAATCAAATTATATGGAGGTCAAGGATTGAATGGGTAGGTGGAATGTCTAACTTGTTATTTCCCTTTACTATGGGATTCTTTAACTAGATTCTTACCATTTAACTAAGTTAATAAAGCATAGTAGCTTTTTTTACATAGTTATAAAAGCATTTTTTTAGGAGTCATGTAGTAAATCTTGACTGCATTGCCTAATAGCTGTATGTTCATTAGTATATGTTTCTTTTTCTTTAAAACAGAAATTAGCACAAATCTCACCTGGCTATAATAAAGTTTATGTAAATTAATATATGTATACTCTTAGTACAGTGCATGGCACTTTGTAGATGCCCATTAAACTTTAGTGTCTGCCTCATTCATAGATAAAATACAAATAAATTAACAAAATACATATCTATATAGAATTTTTTTAAAAGTATAACTTGGTCAGAAAGGTAAAATGTAAAATATGAAAATGGTCAAAGTAAACTATAAATGGACAACTTGGATAATTTTACTTGTACAAATCGACCATCTTCTAGAACTTGATATACTTTTATAATTCCTAAGAAAGTGATACTTGAAGATAACTCTGAAAAGATTTAAAAGATTCTTGTAGACAGAGTTTTACAAACTTCTAAAAGAAAAATTAATTGATAAAAAAAATTATCAACCCAGAAGAATCTTCAAAGATACTACCGATATGACTGAAACAATATCAATATATTATTAGGTACAAGTTATTATTATTCATTACTATGATTTTGTGATCCATTATGGTTCCAGAACTACTCAAGTTACAGCCTCAGCAAAGCATATGCTTCAAAATTGGGAGGCCTTAGACCCAGAAGGCAGCATGTATAGTTTTAAGGAAAGAGTTAAAGTGAACTTTTATTTCTGATAATATGGCAGGGTAGAATCCAGATATAACCTACATACTAAGAAAATTTAAAATACATGATTTTAAAAAGTCCTTGTGATGAGAGGGCACAGGATTTGGCAAAGCCCAGTGATCACTTCCCAAGATGAGAAGTGTAATAGGAGGCCTGATTCCCATAAATATGGGAAGCTGGTGTATAAGTAAATAAGAAATCAAGGTGCTTATTCCCCAACCTGTTTCTTGGGGATCTTCCAGGAAACTCATACATCCAAAGTATTAATGTTGCATGGAGGGGAGGAAAAAGTGCTGCTAAGAAGTAACCACACTAATCCTGACTTGTTGTACTCCACATTTAAAATAAAATAAAATAAAATAAATTAAATAGTAACCATATGCCAACCTGTGTAGGAATTTCAAACCAGTATCAATATTTTCAGATTTGGTCTGATGAAACTCAAACTAATTAAAGTGATCTTAATCTGTCAGTGTCTGCAGACCCCAGGCAGAAGCAAGCACCCATCCCTTCTTGAGGAAACCATCTTCATCCAGGCATCAAAGAATTATCCCAGCTAAAATTACAAAGGAAAATTTCACTGTTAAAAATCATTAAACATATGAGAAAACAAATCATAAATGAGAACTTGCAGAAACAGCAAGCACTGACTTGCAAAGACTTTAAATAGTGGAATGATCAGAAGTAGAATATGAAATAGACGTGTTAAGATGTTGAAAGAAATAAAAACATTAAAAATATTCAGAGAAGAAAAACTTTAAAGAGTGAGAAGCCAATTTTTAAAATGTGGCAAATAAACTTCTGTTAAGTAAGCATTGAAAAGAAAGGAATTTGTGTTTAACTGCAGATCAGATCTAAGTGAAGAGAGATTTCATGAGTAGAAGATATATCTGAAAAAGAAATTATCCAGAATATGGTACAGAGAGACAAAGAAGTGGAAAATATGGGAGGTTGATAGACATAGAAGGTAAAGTGAGAATGTCTAAAATTCAGTCATTTCTAGTAAGTGAGGACAGAAAATGGAACAGAGACAGTAGTTGAAAGGATAGTAATGAAGTCACCATTTTATGAGTTTGTCAAGCCTAAAATATACAAATGGGATTAAAGAAAACGGCATCTACAACCACAAATAGTATATTCAGCTATAAGACATTCTAGAAAGAGGGTAATTTTAAAAAATAACAGGAGGAATAAAAGATGACCTTCAAAAGAGCAGCATAATTGGCAGCTGAATTCACATCGGCAACAATGGAATCCAGAAGATGCTGAATGATGTCTTCAATGTGTTGAGAAAAAATATCTAAAATCCTATGCCAACCAAACACCTTTTAAATACGAGTAGCCTGAAGACATTTCCCAACAAAGCTGACTTGTGTTGGCTTTATTGATGTGAATACTTGGCTAGACTGCCACCCTCAACTGTTCAATCCACTAGTTTATATTTTGCTGTGAGGGGATTTTACAGATACAACTAAAGCCTCTAATGATTTGACTGTAAATAAGGAAGATTATTCTAAATAACCTGATTGTTGGGTCTGTGTGAATCACTTGAAAGGCCTTAAAATAGCACAGATTTCCCTGAGAGAGAATTCTACCTATAGTTGGCAGCTATGGCCCTTGCCTAAAGGTTCGTCTGTCCATGATTTTCCCTTACTGACACCCATTTTATGAATTTCAGACTTGTTTAACCAGCCCCACAATCATGCAAGCGATTCCTTTTCATAAATTTTGTGTTTGTGTATATATATATAATCTCCACTGGTTCTTCTTGTCTGGTTGATCCTTACTGATATACCAACAGCAGAAAAAAGTTCTTTAAGGAAGTAATATAAGGAGGAAGAAAGTTTTCTAAGTTGGAAGATCCAAGATAAAAGGTCTGAGATGCAAAAGTAAAAAAGAGCAAAAGAAGTGGTAAATATGTGTTTTAAATTGGAACAGTATCAACTATATAAGACAGGCAAGTTATTCCACATGTTCAAAGATCAAATGGTTCCAATTCAGATTCCACAAAATTACTTTTTGAATATGGCAAAAAGGAAACACTCTCAAATTTATTCTGTAAGGCTAAGATAGTCTTGATTCCTAAGCCAAAGGAAACATGAGAGGGGAACAATTTATAGGCCAGTCTCACTCAGCAACACAGATTTAAAAATTTAAACAAAATGTTTGCAACCCATACTAGCAAAATGCAAAAAGAATATTACTCCATAATTAGTTGCATTTGTCTCAGAAATTAAATGACAGTTGCACATGAAAATCTATGAAAGCAATTAACAATATTAACTGATTATAGGATAAAAGTCATTTAATCATCTCAACAGGTATCACAAATTTTTATACGGTTTAATAGCTATTCATGTTAAAAACTTAACAAAGATATGATTAAAGAGATTTTCAGCAAACATTATACTTGATTGTCAAACACTAAAAATTTCCCTCTGAAAAAGATGCCAACTACTCTTATTTAAACTCCTAAGATACACAGTTTAGCCAAAGGAAAAAAAAGCATGAAGATTTAGAAATGAAGACACCAAACTGACATTAATTTTATAACTTTGAGGATAGAAACGTGTTTCT